TGGTTCTTTTCTTGTATTTGAACAATTGAATTGTATCTGATAAGAATTCCTGAAATGTGAATGAATGGATAAACAGTGGGATAGGAGAGGGGGGAATACACACACACACACACACACACACACAAATTCCTGAAATGAGTGGGACAAATCCGACCCACCCCCAAGTGTGTCTCAGTCACACACACACACACACACACACACACACACACACACACGTGCCCTGCCCCCTAAGCCTCCTGAGGTCTCAGGCGGATTGCTGCGCCCTCCCCCGCCCCCACCCCTAGCAAGCAAGTTTGCCCCGGTTTGGCAGCTCACAGAATAGTGGGAACGGGCGCTGGGCGTCTTTGCATCCCGGGGGTTTGCAGACCGCGTCCCCTCCGTGCTGTCCCCAGGTCTGTGCCCCGGGAGGGGAAACGCCACTTACCCCACCACGGAAATCATCATGGCAGCCACCACCAGGTAGTTGGTCTGGTAATAGAGCAGGTTGCTCACCACGCGGTTGTTCCATTTGGAAATGTCCTTGAAATCCGGCCGCGCGAAGCGGTCAGAGCCCGGGAAGAAGTCGTCCCAGCTGCGCAAAGGAGGGACCTCCATGTCAACGTCTTCCCCGGCTTCTCCTTCGGAATCTGGGGGAGGCGACGGCGACAAACGAGCCGCTGAGCTGGGTCACAGCAATGACAGCGGCTCCCGCGCCGTCGGCTCTGCGGTTGGCGCGCAGCGCAGCAAAGAAAACCAAGAGCGGCCGGGCGGTTTTGCGCCTTTAGGCTTCGCAGTTGGCTCGAAGTGATTGGTTCCGGAGAAACGGTGGAGTCCCGAAAGGAGCGAGGGCCAACTGCAGAACAGAAGTGGAACTACGCCGTGCAGCCCGCGGGGAAGTCCTCGGTCCGAGCGTGGGGGCCAAGCTTCTTTCTCCAGCAGTTCGACTAAAAGCGCCCCCCACCCCGCGTTCTGAGTATTAGCCTCGGGGTGTGCACTCTGACTTAGCCGGGGTGGGGGTGGGGCTGGGGTGGGGATTGCAGCTGTTCGAATGCCAACCTAAGTGAAATGGGATGGAAGCAGATTTTCGTGTGACTTTTCGAGGATGAACTGGTTTTGAGAAGTAAAAAGTAACCTTTGCACATCAGAATGCAAGTCTTCTCCGTTTTGCTGTTCCTGTTTCACCAGGAGTCAAATCAGATTGGCACAACAGGAAAAAGGGAGGTGCCGGCAGGAAGGGCTGGTTTGCTCTTTCACTTCTCTTTGTTCTCCAGCTCTCTTCTCTAGGGACAGAATTATTGAACTCCTGGGCCATTCTGATAAAGTGGGCACTTCAGCATGTTTGCATTTTATAAATAAGTCCTTGCTGTGAACTGCTGTTTTGCTTGCTGTTTTGAACCTAGCATTTTATTTATTTTTTAAAGTTTTTATTCTTTTTCGTTTATCCACGTTTGGGGACAACTTGCACTAAAAGAGCACAGTCTTTTAATAAAGCCATTGCTTTGCACCCCAGCCTGAAGAAAAATTGTTAAGGGGTGTTTTACTTGTACGGTTCTTTCTAAAGATCTTCTGAAGGGTAGATTCTTCTTCCCCCTCCCTTTTGTCCCCCAGTTTAAGGGCTTCCTCTCAAATGCTTGAAGGAAAGAAAATGTTTTATTAATTGCAATGGTATGGGGCAGAATTCTCAGATCTGAACCTGTGAATGGAGCATCTCTAAACCTTGGGATTCATTCCACTCAGATCGCCACTTTTCAAAAAACTTGAAGGCAATAACTATACCTAATGTGAAGTCTGGAAGACAAAATTTAGTTTTCCCTTGATGACTCAGAAATCGGTTCAAGGACTTGAGAAATCATTACCACTACTGGTGGTTGGAAAAGACTGGTGGTTGGAAAAGAGTGGTGAAAGACGATGAATCAGTGTTGACTAACTGATGTATCCTTGGTGCTGCCTTTGGGGCGTGGGGGAATTTAAAATAGAAAATATTCTTGATACTGGGAAACTGGGAGAGTTTAAAATCAGAGAAAGCAAAATTCAACTTTCAGCACTTTCGGGTGGCTTTGAAGAAGCTACTTCTCTCCCAGGCAGGATTTTGTTTTGTTTTAATGTAAAGTGAAGATAATAACATCTACTGAGTAGAAAAGATAAGCGAAACTATTCATATGGAAACTGCATCATAGAGTGTAAGTAATCACAGTTAGAATGTTACTGTTATTAATTATATTGATTTATTTCTAACGACACATACTATAAACTACAAAACTATCCACTGTTGTTGATATACAGACACACACATATTCAGATACAGACCTGGGGACAAAAGTTCCAGGAAAGGCCTTTGCCGTCAACCTGATACCACTGATACCAAAGCTGCTTTGAATGGCATTTCAAACAGTACTAAGTAAAGATTCAATGTTTCATTCTTATTTGAAACAATATTATTACAAAGAGCTACTCCAATCCATGATTCACCTGTAAAGAAGCAATACTGTGTTAACCTATTTTGTTTTCTATGCTCTTATAAAGCGCATCTATTGATTTGTTTCTACCTTGTTGCAATTTGATTGTTGTAGTCCTGTCTGGCTAGACATGCTGGGAAAAGGAAAGAGAAAGAAAGGCTGAGAAATTCAGTACAAGGACAACAGAGCATTTGACTCTTTGGGGGTTACACAGGGCAAGAAGACAGCCCTGCTGGTCTCTCAAGGATTTTGCAATGCAGTGAAAACTACTTACTTAAATAGAAGATAGCGTGAACACACCCCTGGCATGGAGACTATTCTATTTATACAGGACTTCTGAGGCTATAAATCTTTATAGGAGCTGGTAGCCTCATCTTTCTCTCACAGTGGCTGGTGGATTTGAACCTCCAACCTGACAGCCCAGCCTTCACCCAACAGTCCAGCAGGGCTTCTTAGAGTGAAAGGGGTGCTAAATGGCCATTTGCCAGATCTTGATCATCAGTTACAGGAAGCAGGATGTGGAGGAAATCCCCAGAGCTTAGCAATATCGAGCAGCAGCACTGAGGGCTAGCTGAGTCAATCATCTTGGTCAAGAGGAGGCAGGGGCCAGAGAAGAGCCTGTTAGAGACCTCAGTGAGCACTAGGCGTGGTGAGCAGGAGCGTTCACCTTCCAAGTGCTCTGTGCTGCATGACCAAAAGCTGTCACGTGTCATGTGTGTTGCTATGAGTAATCTGTTCTCAGCCTAATCTCAGACTAGACTTTGCTTCTGGGTATTTTGATGCATGTGCACCCATTGATGGCAAGTAGATGTTGACACATGGTTACCCAAAGGACAGAGTAGAACTGCCCAGAGTGCTCCCAAGGCCAGGCTCTCTGTGGAAATAGACTGCCCCTTCTGCCACACCTGTCTTCCTGTGCTTTGAACTGCTCATCTACCTGTGAGCCGCCACGCTCGTTAACCTCTGAGTTACCAGGGCTACTTGTTTAAATTTCCAGGGAGATTTAGACATTTTTAAATAGGAGGAAGACCAGATAAAGCTGTTTAAAGCATGACCTCTTTCTTCCTCCCAAGATGTCAACTGTGGTTATTTTTCTGGCTAGATTGTGGGATCTTTTCTTCTCTCCTCCTTAACAAGTCTCCCATTGAAATAATATTGTTTTAAATAAAAATGAACACATACTGAGTCCTTACTTAATTCTACTCATAGTTTGAAATGCCACCCAAAGCAGCTCTTCTGTCACTATTCATTCAGAGGGATCAGATTCACGACAGAGGACTTTCCTGGGGCTTTTGGGTTCAGGTTTGCACCTGAATATGTCTGTACATCAGCAATAGTGAAGAGTAGTTTACGGTATGTGCCATTTGAAATAAAATAAATCTGTTGAAAGTTTCACTTGCATGTCTCTGTCACTGTCATTACAGTAATTTCTAAACAATCTGTTGGAGTCTGTGGGAGTATCTGGTGTCATCTATCCACATACCATCAGCATGAGTCAGGGTCAGGGTGTGAGTCCCAAGGCACACAGATGCAGTCAGGTGCCTTTTCAGACCTCTTCACGGGCCAACTGTGTTCTACCCGTGGGTCTTGGTATTGTCCCTGTGAAAGGAGTGGAATTAGAGTAGGAGATGTCGAAACAGCATGCTGGTCTTTTTGCCTACTGAGAGGGCTATGGTGCTGGCTGCCAGATCTCAGAGAGTTGTCTGAAAGCAGTCTTGTCCCACAGGAGCCTCTTTTGAGAAGCTAGCATTTAACCTCAGTGGTTTCTATCTGTGGAGTCTTAGGCAAGAAAAATGGTTTCTGAAGGGATACTGAGACATATTCATTAGACTTGAAAAGAGGCAGCAAGAGACTACGGACTATGAAAATGATCCCAGGAATTACTGCCTGGCACAGCCTTTCAGCTCAATGAACGCTAGAGACTTGAATTTGATTGGGAATAATGTGAGTATAGAACAAGGGTGCCTGCAGGTCCAGTGGCTAATAGGACACAGAGGAGGTTAAATATCAAAATTCAGTAGAAGTTGCAGCTACATTTGCTAAGTACCAACCAGACTTATAAGCCTTATTACAATGGTTCTCAAACTTTTTAAAAAATCATTTTATTGGGGGCTCATACAACTCTTATCAGAATACATACATGCATCCTTTGTGTCAAGCACATTTGTACATTGCTTGCCATCATTTAACATTTTCTTTCTACTTGAGCCCTTGGTATCAGCTTCTCATCCCCCCCCCAACCCTTGATAATTTATAATTTATAATTTTATATAAATTATATAAATTTATAATTATTTTCAATGTCTTACACTGACCAATGCCTCCCTTCACCCACTTTTCTGTTGTCTACCCCCCTGGGAGGGGGTTATATGTAGACCATTGTGATCAGTTCCCCCATTCTCCCCAACCTTCCTCTTCCCCTCCTGGTATCGCTACTCTCATTAATGGTCCTGAGGGGTTTATCTGTCTTGGATTCCCTGTGTTTCCAGCTCTTATCTGTTCTCAAACGTTTATGTGCACAGTCATCCAAGTGCTTTCCTGATGGTCAGGATGGGGCCCTAAAGCTAGCTTTTGTCAGAAGATCCCAAGTGATGCAGGTGCTGTGTGTTGTTGTTGTTGTTGGGTGCCCTAAGGTCAATTCCAACCCCATGTGACAGAGTTGAACTGCCCCACAGAGTTTTCTTGGCTGTTATCTTTACGGAAGCAGATTGTCAGCGCTTTCTCCCAGAGCCACGAGTGGGTTTGAACTGCCAACAGGAGGCCTCCTTGTTGTTGTCGCTGATCCCCCAAACTCAACTCAACTACTGCCATTGAGTCAACGAGGACTCATAGTAGCCCTATGGGACAGGATATAAGTGCCCCTGTGAGTTTCTGAGACTGTAACTCGACAGGAGTAGAAAGCCCCGCCTTTCTCCTGGAGCGGCTGGTGGTTTCCAACTGCTGATCTTGCAGTTAGCAGCCCAAAGTGTAACCCCTACACCACCAGGGCTCCGCTGTAGCTGATAGAATGATATTTGATCTAAATATCACAACCTCAATTCTACAAGACAGATACGTTTTTTCCAGCTTACAGGTGGAGAAACAAATACTCAAGGTGTCCTACTTCATCAGTGTAAGAAGTAAGCATTTCAGTGGCATCCCTAAGAGGGATACAGGGATGTGGACTGCATTGGGCGGCACTCACGAGGGTGTGATCGCAAAATGAATGCCTGGAAAGTTTTTGTATAGTGTTTCAACTGAAAGTTAGTATTTTTATAAGAATCTCCCAATGGTTAGTTGTACTTTTTTTTTTTTTTTGGTAAGCGGAAATCACATGAATCAACATACCTAAAAGGAAAAAAGAACAACAAACCAACCAACCCGTGCTCACTGCCATCTAGTAGATTCCTACTCCTAGTGGCCCTATTAGAGTAGACCTGTCCCTGTGGATTTTGGAGACCAACTCTTGATGGGAGTAGAAAGCTCCATTTTGTTCCTGAGGAGCGGCTGGTGGTTTCGAACTGCTGACCTTGTAGCTAGAAAACCAATGCATAACCACTACACCACCAGGAGCCCCCTAAAAGGCAAAAATTCTGTGCTAATTTACTTTTTGAACCTTTTAATGCTTCTAATGCTGAAGTGTCCTTATTATTCAATTTCAATGAGGTGTGAAGTCTGTTTGCTACAAGTATCCACTGCTGTTTTCCTGGATGCTGGTGTTTTTATTGCCAATAATTTGGTCAAATTGACTGTTGTTTAGCTTTGATATTATGACAACCAGTATTTGTGTACCTATACTAATAACTTCTGAGAATGAAGTACAAGTTAAAGGAAAGAGAAAAAATTAGAATATGGCTTCTGCTAATAATGTTTTCACTACTAATCCTGTAATTTAATGCAGAAAGATTTTACACATTTTTTGTTGTTGTTAGTCTTCAGACCATCTAAAAAATAGCATACCCAAGCAATTTTAAAACTGTATCACATATTATTCTATGATTAAAACTAACAATAAAAATTACCAAGGGTTTTGTAGGCTGGCAGGGCAGGTGCATCATGAGTCACAGACAACACTAGTGATGCTGCTGAAGGATGCAAACTGTCCATCTGACTCCAAGTCTCCTATCTGCCCCACTCCATACAGTATGTGGAACTCAACTCACTGTTGACTCAGATTTGTAGATATGTATTTTCTACCCCGTCATCCAGATTTTGTTCACATGTGCTTCCGGATTATTAAAAAATATCGTTCCAAGTTTTATCACCATTAATCTTTAGGGATAAATTATGTGTGTTCTAAATTATTCTTTTGTTTTCATTACACTTTTTAATAATAAACATCTATTCTTAGTCACACAAAAATTTTGCAAGTTTTTTCCATTTCTGGTTAATTGCTTCTTTGACAGAATATGACACTGAAATATTAAATATTGATCTTCCCTAAATAAGAATATTCTCTCAACTTCACCCCAAAAAACTAATTTAGATACTCCCTCTTACCCCCAACCACCCAAAGTGGTCAAGAAGAGGTTAGAACCAATCTGAAAATAAACCTGAAAACCTCCTGGCTATGCACCAGAGATTAGAGCTGGTATATTGACGTGGTCTTGGAACTCCTAAGTGGTCTAACAGTGGTAGATTGCCCGCTGACAGGTTGGGGTTGAATCCACCTGGAGGCGCCTCTGAAGACAGCAGGCCAGGCCGTCAATCACAGCGTGCTCCACTCTGGCAGAGACAACAGATCTTTCCTATCACTAGAAATCGCACAAACATGCAGGCAATTGTGCCTGTGTTTCCACGCAGCTTGGCAACATTAAAAACGGTGTAAAGTTGATCTAATGAGATGTCCTTAATCGAAATGAGAGTTACATAAGACCCTTCAAGGGGCCCAGGGGCCGGCGACCCCGCCCTCCCTGCCGGAGGCCCCGCCCACCGCGAGGGATTCTGGGAAGAGGCGGAAACCAATATGGCGGATGGCGAGGACCCGTAAGTACAGGGGTTTGTGCAGTACCGGGCCGGGCAGGGCGTGAGCGAGCTCGGCGGAGGGCGGCCGCTCCTGCCGCCCGGGGTCCCCTCCCCTTCGCCCGCCCCGGCCCCTTGCCCCCGACCCCCGCGCGGCGCCTAGCGAGTAGCGTGATGCTGACCCTTCTTTTATTCTCTCTTTCTTTTAGGGAGAAGAAAAGAAGGAGAATAGAGGAGCTGCTGGCTGAGAAGTTAGTGCTGCCGGGAGGCCGGGGTCCTCTTCGGGGACCCCCGCCTCCCCTCCCCATCCCAGGCCTAGGAGACCAGCCGCAGCGGGCCCGGGGGTGCTGGGAGGGGGGCACCCGGGACGCAGACCGCTCAGCCTCATTCCCCGACCCCCGCGCCCGCTCTTTGCAGCAGGCCCTGCCTGCAGGGGCGGGATCTAAGGTCCTGTGGAAGGCCCTAGGCCCCCTCTTAACTCCCACCCAAAGGGTCCGACCCACGACCCTGTAGAACAGGGTCCCAATGTCAACACATGCAAGATAGGCACGAATTTGTTTTTGGCGGGGTGGGGGGTGTCCTTTCCCAATCTCAGACTTTGGGTGAGAACATATCAGTTATCGCATCAAACATGGCAGTTTTTGCAAAAGCATTGGCACCCAAAGTAGGGTGTTGACCTTTATTCTCCCTCTTTCACCACACACCCTATTGCCTATCTAGTGCTGAGCTTTGTGCAAGGTGCAACAGATTTAAATAAAGTGTTTTTCAACCTTACTGAAGCCGCTGAATTCCCCCACCCTACCAGGGATATAGGTGTAGTGAGGTAGTTAATTTCTGTGCCAATTCCCAGTAGAGTTCTTAGACGTCTCCCTCAGAAAGTTGAAATTCAATTGCAAGAGGACTGGAAAAACAAGCTTAATATCTCATCCTCTCCCACCTTTCACTTGGCTGAAACAGCCCGTAAATTTGAGTGCTTACTAGTACTGTGTAGAATATACACAGTATATATGCAACGATTTCACTCAAACGAGGCCTACTGCATGGAGTCGGTTTCGAATCTACTCCTAGGGACAGGATTGCATCTAAGACATAGTAGAAATGCCCCCTGTAACTCCGAAAGGGGACTAGGGTAGAATGCCTCAGCGACTTGTTTTGAACTGCTGACTTTAGCAGCCCAGTGCGGGTTAGGACACCCCCAGGCACCTTTATTATGAACAGATCTAGTAGTCTATTTTTGCAGACTCTAGCAGGCCTCATAATGACTTTAAGCGGCTGCAATCAATCTGCTCAGGAGGCTTATGGATGTAAAGAATCTGTTCAAGGTCACAGTGTTATTAGTTATGGCGCCATTCCCAGCTGTGATATCAAAACCCATAGTGTTTATCGTTAGCCAATACTTCGTGGTTTCTTTATTTTTGAAATAGAACATACAAAGATATTAATGTATTTGAAGGTGAAAATTGTAGGGCTATAGGAAATCTGAAATGCATATTTCAAAACTATATTTCACAGAGTGAGAAAGCTTACGTATTTTGTTAGAGAAGGGCCACCTTAGTTATATGTACTAAATGTTTCTAAATGAGGAAGCCTGGTGATTATAACCTAAAATTTGG